TGCGATCTCGTCGTTGAGGTTGCGGATCTGGTGGTCCTTGGTGGCCTTGTCCTGCTCACCCTTCTGAATGGACAGCTCGAGGTCCTCGATGTCCTTCTTCTGGCCGTTCAGCTCCTGCTCCAGCTTCTTCTTGCCCTGGTTCAGGGCGTTGCGGGCCTCTTCCTCCTGGGCCAGGCGGTCTTGTGTGTCCTGAGAAGGTGAAGGTAGCTCCATGAGCTTTGCCGCACTCACGAGAACACTGGTGCCTGGTTCATACACAGGATACGTCAGCGAGCGCCAGGCAACATCGCGTGAAGCCCGCCAGAAAATGGTTACCGCCGTCAGCAGCTCCATCACTCTCACAAGCAGGCGCTTGCTGACTCGAGTTCCACCCAATATACGTGCCTGGCGGAAGCGAAACGGCAGACAACAGTGGTGGCGCAGGCGCAACAATTCGACTTCCGTAGCTTCAGCAATCGCCCCGCCATAACCTGCTAACAAAGCTAACTAGGACTAGCACAACCCCGAGACCTCTGGCAATCACACACCCAGCGACCAGACAACCGTCGGACAGCCAGAGAGACAGCGAGACAGGCGACAGCCGCCGCGCGGCGGTACGCAACCGACAGCTGGTTCTCGAGGTCCTGCTTCTGCGCCTAGCAGCTTCTGCTGCTTGGTGTGGAAGTCGCTGAGCGAGCCCTTCTCCGAGTCGAGGGCCGACGTAAGGGCGTCCTTCTCCTTGTTCAGCTTGGCGTTCTGTTCCTCCCGCTGCTTGCGCAACTTCTCCTCCTTCTCCAGCGCTTCGAGGGCCTTCTGCGCCTTCCCTCCAGGGCCTGCGGGGAGACGAGGAGGAGATCAGCTCTGGGAGCTCCGAAAAGGCACGTGGACCCCGTCACATACGCCGTGTTCGGCGCGCTCGCACGTGCTGTTTCGAGGTGGTGACGTCATTTCGGTGATTGCTGATTTTTGCCGACAAGAGTCAAATAATAAATAGTCCTCCGATAAGATTCCAATAAGTCGCTACCCAACATCAACTGCATGCTTAGTCAGCAGATGACGATACGTACGCGCATTTCATCCTCGATGCGCGTGACGTTGAGCATGGGCTTGATCTTCTGCCACAGCTTGAACCACATCCAGTTGCGCAGCTGCATGTACTTGCGCAGGTTGCGCTGTACCACCTGGAGAGCGATTCTGTGGGAGGAGGAGACACCAGACATGTGACAATGATTCTTGATCATATGCTTAAGACATTCTAGGAGGCGTGGCGCACTCGGTATGGTAATATCTGGGTGTGGACGTCTCTGTGCTAGCAAACTGTACTGACCCTGTATTGACGAACGTCAATTGGACTATAGCGGGGTTGAATCATACGGCATTACTTAAAGCAAAAGTCTGCGGATATGCAGGTCACCAAATAATTCAAACACATGGGACGCAGATCACTGAAATGCGTGGATAAATATAGCACGAACTTTCCCACCTTTTCGCGTAACTAATCCATGTTCTGCTTGCAGACACCTCACGCCTCCACACCCAAGATGTCT